AACACAAGGCACCTCTCAAAAACCTAAAACATAATGCAAATATTTATTTGAGCTATCTAACAAGTCTAAATAAATATATGTTCAATCCAGGCTATTGCTTTTTGTTTTTCCTGTCTCAGAGAGATGTGTGTCACTTTGTCCAGCCACAGCAATTGGCTAAGGATGAAATGGCTGTAGCAAAGCTAAAACTAAGATGTAACTTAAAAAAAAAAATTGTTGAAACCACTTTATATATTGCAGTTTGTTGTTACTTTAAGTGGAGTCAGAAGATAATTTTTGGTCATAAAATTATTGAATAAATTGACCAGTTAGGGGATTGGCAGTGCTTCTGTGGAAGAAGAGTAGCACATGGTTGACGTAGACTAATGCAGCCAGGTTATTTTGCATGTAATTTTGAGTTATTAGCCTGAAATATGGCATGCTGAGATTAGAGTTACGATTTCACTTAACTTGAAGACAAGGGTTTGATTTAGAACAATAGAAAATTGTTGTCTAGAACTCATTCCTTAAGAATGCTGCTCAGCTGGTTCAGCTCATTCCAGCAGTTATAAACTCTACATTCTATTCCAGGGTTTCATTATCATTTGGAATTATTTGGACAGTCTAGTGTTTGGATACTTTGTTTTGTTATATTTAAAATTGGAACTTTGCCATTGATATTCTGCATGAGGTTTACATTCATTTGCAATATATTAAATGATATGAAAGTTGGTGAAACTTGGGTACAGATTTGAAACACTTTTTTTTTTTTAATCCTCACCTGAGGATATGGCTATTGACTTTAGAGAGAGAGAGAGAAACATAGATGTGAGAGAGAAACATCGATTGGTTGCCTCCGATGCAAACCCCAACCAACTGAGGGTCAAACCTGCAACCTAGGTATGTGCCCTGACCAGGGATCAAACCCGAGACCTTTCAGTGTACAAGATTATGGTCCAACCAAGCTACACTGGCCACAGCTGAAACACTAAGTCTTTGATTCAAACTGTGGTGTCTTCATAACATAAAGTTAAGGACTAAAAGAGCACCTATAAAAAGGAAAAAGGATGACACAGAAAAATGAGCAAAGAACATGAAGAGTGTTAAATTCTTCAAGGAAAATATACTAATGGCTGATAAACATCCATAAAGATGGTTAGCCTTCTTAAGGAAATGCATATTAAAACAATAAATGATTTTTTTTCTCCTTTCAGATTGGCAAAAATTAAAGGTTAATCCAGTGTTTATGACTTTGTGGAAAAGTAGATTCTTTCATACACTGTAGGGTGGGAATGTAAATAGATATAATCTTTTTGTGAGGCCAGTTTGGTAGTATATATCAAAATTTAAAATGCACAAACCACCCTGGCCAGTGTGGCTCAGTTGGTTGAGCATCTCCCCATGCCCTGAAAGGTCCCTGGTTTGATTCCTGGTCAAGGCACATGCCCAGGTTGCCAGTTCAGTTCCAAGTCAGGTTGCATACAGGAGGCAACTAGTCCATGCTTCTCACTCACATGGATGTTTCTCTCCATTCCTCTCTCCCTAAAATCAATTAAAAAATAAAGTAAAATAAAATGCACAAACTCTTTGACATTTCATTTCTGTTTCTAGGAAGTTATTTCCATTTTGTGAATGGTCTGCTCATATCTTTATCCTGTATTCAGAGATTTAAAAATCATCATTATTAACATAATTTCTAAGTATGATAAAATTCTTCATTGTCCAATTGAAATATTTTTTTAGTCTCTTACTTGCTTTTTTAAAAAATATGTTTTTATTGATCTTAGAGAGAGGGGGGAAGGGAGAGGGAGAGAGAGAGAAATAAATGAGAGAAACATCATCAATCCGCTGTCTCTTGCACAACCCCCTACTGGGGACCCAGCCCACAGCCTGGGCATGTGCCCTGACCTAGAATCAAACTGGTGACCTCTTGGTGCATGGGACGGCGCTCAATCCACTTAGCCACATGGCTGAGCTTGTTTTTCTATTTTGGGTCTAAGTGGGGCCTTTTAGAAGCTAGATAGAAGTTTCAATTTATGTGTTCAAATCTGTTTTCTTTCTGATTTCTACTTTAGCATGTAAGCTTAGATAGACCTCTCCTCTTTAGAAGTTGCATGGCCCAGCTGTCGTGGCTTAGTGGTTGAGTGTTGACCTATGAACCAGGAGGTCACGGTTCGATTCCTGTCAGGGCACATGCTTGGGTTGCAGGCTCGATCCCCAGTGTGGGGCTTGCAGGACGCGGCCAATCAATGATTCTCTGTCATCATTGACGTTTCTCTCTCTCTCTCTCTCTCTCTCTCTCTCTCTCTCTCTCTTTCTCTCTCTCTCTCTCTCTCTCTCTCTCTCTCCCCCTTCCTCTCTGAAGTCAATTTAAAAAGTTGCATAAATACTTGATTTTAGTTTTTTCTATTTTTTCATTTGTCTTTAAAATTTTTAACTCTCTAAGATACCTGTAATTAATTTGGGGGCTACCAGATTACTGGCCAAGTTATTCCAACACAGTTTATTGAAAATTCTCCCCTTCTCCTCCTTTCTCTAATATTAAATTATTTTGTATATTATTTATGTTAGCATTTGTATTTTGTATATTATGTTAGCATTTGAGTCAGTTTGTTGTATAGTAATTTACCAGTTTTGTTGCTAAGTTTGCAGTATTTTTTTATATATATTTGTTTTATTAATTTTTACAGAGAGGAAGGGAGAGGGATAGAGAGTTAGAAACATTGATGAGAGAGAAACATCAATTGGCTGCCTCCAGCACACCCCCTACTGGGGATTGAGCCTGCAATCAATGTACATGCCCTTGACCGGAATCGAACCCGGGACCCTTCAGTGTGAGGGCCGGCGCTCTATCCACTGAACCAAACCCGCTAGGGCTCGCAGTACTTTTTAAAATATATTTTTATTGATTTCAGAGAGGATAGGAGGGGGGGACAGAAACATCAATGATGACAAAGAATCATTGATGGGCTGCCTCCTGCATGCCCCCTACTGGGGATCGAGCCTGAAATCCAGGCAGATGCCCTGACAGGGAATTGAATCTTGACCTCCTGGTTCATAGGTCTACATTCAACCATGTAGCCACACTGGCCAGGCTAAGTTCACAGCATTTTAACTACAATAGTTTGAAGAAAATTCAAATCAGTAAGTTAAATTAATTTAGAAAAAAATTTAAAAATCTTGCCGATGAGATGTGGAATAATTTTGTCAAGTTCAAAAAAGTCTTTTGGATTTTTGTTGTCATTTCCAATAAACAGAAATTTTGAAGCATGTATCATTTTTAGAATATTTAATTTTCTCATTCTGTATCCTAGTGTATGCCTTACCAACTATTTAAACCTTCTTTATATCTCAGTTTTGTGTAGCTCACATAATTTTTTTATTAAAATACTTCCTGGGTGTTTTTACATTTTGATATTATTGTGAATGAGACCTCTTTATATTTACCTAATTTTTTTACTTTCCTAATTTGTTAGGCTATTATGAGTTCTGTAAATTTAATATACACATATTTAGCTTGTTTCACATAAACATGAATTCTTTTGTGAAACTTTAAAATGAATTAATTCTTCAGTGTTCATAGTGTTTTAATTTCTTCAGGCATGATATAGAGTTATGTCTTTCGTACTAGACAGTAAGCGCCATGGAGATCTTTTTGTTTATTTTTCCATTTTCCATGTGTCTTTGTTTTTAATTTAAATTCTTTATTGTTGAAAATATTACATATGTCTCCTTTTTCCCCCATTGACCTCTCCCTGACCGCTCCTGCCCCCCAGCACATGCCCTCGCTCCCCTACTGTCTGTGTCCATTGGTTATGCCTATATGCATGCATACGAGTCCTTTGGTTGATCTCTTAACCTCGCCCCCATCCACCCCCACTTTCCCCTCTGAGGTTTGACATTCTGTTTGATGGATCTATTTTTGTTCATTAGTTTATGTTGTTTATTATATTTCACAAATGAGTGAGATCATGTGATATTTATCTTTCTCCAACTGGCTTATTTTGCTTAGCATAATGCTCTCCAGGTCCATCCATGCTGTTGCAAATGGTAAGAGTTCTTTCTTACAGCAGTATAGTATTCCATTGTGTAGAAGTACCACAGTTTTTTAATCCACTCATCTGCTGATGGGCACTTAGGCTGTTTCCAAATCTTAGCTATTGTAAATTGTGCTTCTATGAACATAGGGGTGCATATATTTCTGATGGGTGTTTCTGATTTCTTGGGATATATTCCTAGAAGTGGGATTACTGGGTCAAATAGGAGTTCCCTTTTTAATTGTTTGAGGAAATTCCATACTGTTTTACACAGTGGCTGCATCAGTCTGCATTCCCACCAGCATTGTGCAAGATTCCTTTTTCTCCACATCCTTGCCAGCACTTGTTTGTTGATTTGTTGATGATAGCCATCCTGACAGGTGTGAGATGGTATCTCATTGTCGTTTTGATTTGCATCTCTTGGATGATTAGTGACTTTGAGCATCTATAATAATAAAAGTGTAATATGCTAATTAGACCAGACGTCCTTCCAGACAACCTTCCAGATGAAGCTGGGGTTGCGAGGGAATCCCGAGTCCCAGGTGCCTACCGGCAGCCAGAGGGAAGCCCGGGTCCCAGGTGCCAGAGGGAAGCTGGTGCCAGCAGCCAGGGGAAGGAAGGCCTACTCTTGCATGAATTTCGTGCATCGAGCCTCTAGTTTTTTCATATGTCTCTTGGCCTTCTGTATGTCCACTTTTGAAAAGTGTCTATTTAGGTCCTTTGCCCATTTTTTGATTGGATTATTTATCTTCCTTTTGTTTATAAGTTCTCTTATGTCTTTCATACTAGACAGTAAGCGCCATGGAGATTTAAACTGTTTTTACTTATTTGTTCCCAAGTGCCTCTCATATAGTGTAAATCAGTATAAAAATAATTTGTTGAATAGATGAGTGACAAGTAGGGAAAGTACTACAAGAATATAATGACTGTCTCTGGGTGATGTTTTTATTTTCTTTCTACTTTATTATCTACTTGTCTTTATAGCTCCCGTTTTTCAGAGAATAAACATCTATATGCACACTGAGTGGCCAGATTATTATGACCGGCCAGATTATTGTGAGTACAATTATTGAGTACTCAAATCCACAAGATGGTATCCTCCCCCCACCCCCCCGCCTTTTTTTTTTTTAATGAGGTGAAGAATCTGGTTTGCATGCAGAGCCGTAAGGAAGAACACACAGCTCTAGGCTTTGTATTCCTCTGGCTCTTTTTAGTGTACTTCAGCCCACATTAAATCCTAGCCCTGGCGCAGAATTTACAGGAATTTCAACTGTCTCAAACATTGTTTTACTCTGTCCTCCTTAATGTGAGTGGGCCAGTTGAATGATGCATTCTTTATGCCCAGGTTGCTCAATAAAAGCCTACTTCTTGGAGTGCAGTGCTCAAACGGGAACTGGGTGTGTTTGTTCTAATCTTTCTCCTGGCTGCAGTGGTGACAGTATCTTGCCTCTGGATAGGTCTTTTCTGCCTAGGAAAAACAGAATTGAGTCTCAACATTAATCTCCCATATTTCTCCCTAACTGAAAAGTATACACTGTCTATGTAGCTCTGGTGCCTAATCGGTATATGCGGACTGTGCCTGCTGTGCACCACTGAAACAGAGCTATCATTACCACTACATAGCCTTTCAAATCATAACATGTATTTTGGTGGTTCACTTGCTTGCTTTGTTTTCCATACTGAGAAACAGAAATGATCTTATGGTATGTTTAACTGTCAATACACATTGGTTCAATCATAGGTGTTTATTTTTTAAATTTTATTGGATTTTTAAAAACTTTAATTTGAAATTACAGATTAACAGGAAGTTGCAAAGGAAGTACAGAGAGGTACTGTGTACTCTTCATCCAGTTTCCCCTCAATGGTTACATCACACGTAACTATTGTGCAATACCAAAACGAAGAAATTGACATCTATACAATGTGTGTGTATAGTTTTGTCATTTTATCACTTGTCTAGATTCCTGTAACCACCACCACAGTTAAGATCTAGAACCATTCTATTACCAGTAAGGCCTCCCTCATGCCACCCCTTTATAATCACACCCTGTGTCAGTAGTCCCCAAGACTTTCTCAGGTTTGGTAATTTGCTAGAAGTACTCCTGGCTATTTTTGTTATAGTGAAATGGTACAAAAAATGATCAATACAGGAAAATGGTAGAATTAGCAGAGTTTGGAGGATACCAGGTATGAACTTCTAGGAGTCTTCTCCCAGTGGAGCTGTACAGGGTACATTTAATCCTCCAGCAACAAACTGTAGCAACACGTGTGATGTGTTTTTGTTAGGGAAACTGACTTAAACTAGGATTCCAGGTTTTTTATCGGAGGCTGGTCACATAGGCACAAGTGCCTTCATGATCGACTATAGTTGCTATAACTTCGGCCCCAGAGGAAAGCAGGTGTTCTCCATACATTACACTGTTTGCATAGACTGTCTAGACAAGTTGGCACAGTGTGGTTCAAGGCTCCAAGCATAAAACACCCTTATCAGTTAGTACATAAGGACACTCTAACACCTCAGTGTCTAGGATCCGGCCAAGGGCCAATCACACAAGCATGCCCTTCCGAGAATGTACATGATTTGAGCAACTCAGTTCTGCTTAGCTACTTCTTTCCTGCACACCTTTCCTTACCCTCCCTTGTTAGAAACAGATCGGATATGGAGAAACTGTGCTGGGCCTAAGGTAGGTTGGGGTAGCTACTACTTTAGATAGAGTGGCCAGGGAAGGCCTTTCTGAAAGTGTGACGTGAAAGCTGAGACCTAAATGATGAGAGAGAATCACCATATAAGCAGCTAATAGCACAGCATTCTAGGACAACACCTGTGCAAAGGTGACAGAAATGTAAAGGAGGCCTATAACAGTTTTCTGTTGTTGCCATAACAAATTACCACAAACTTATTAGCAGCTTAAAACACCACCCATTTGCTATCTCAAAGTTCTGTAAATCAGAACTCCTGGCCAGCTCAGTTAGATACTCTGAAGGCTCTCTGGAGGTCAAAATTAAGGTATAAGCCAGCCTGGACTTTTATCTGGAGGCTATGGGGAGAATCTGCTTCCAGACACTCATGTTGGCAGAATTGAGTTCCAAGTGACCATAGGACTGAATTCTTCATTTCTTTGCTGACTGTCAGCCAGAGGTCATTCTCAGCTTCTAGAAGCCACCCACATTCCTTGGCTTATGGTTTCTTCACCTTCAAAGCCAATAGTAGTTCACTGGAGTCCCATTATGCCCTCCTCATCTGATTTTTATTTTAAAAACAATTTTATTGGGATGTAATTCACCCATTTAAACAACACAATTCAATAGCAGTCATCACTATGACCAACTATAGAACATTTTCATCACCTCAAAAAGAATTCCAGACACTTTAACTATTTCCTTTACTCCCATCCTCTCCCCTTCAATCCTAAGCAACCACTAATCTACTTCTGTCTTTGTAGATTTCCCTGTTCTGGACGTTCATATGAATGGGATCATATGATACATGGGCTTTTATGACTGGCTTCTTTCACTTAGCATCATGTTTTCAAGGTTAATTGTGGCATGTATCGGTACTTAATTCCTCTTTATGACTGAGTAATAACTACATTGTATGATATATTGCATTTTGTTTTTCCATTCATCAGTTGATGGACATTTGGGTTGTTTCCACCTTTTGGCTATTATAGATAATGCTCCTGTAAACATTCATGTACAACTTTCTGTGTGGACATAAGTTTTTGTTTCGCTTGGGTAAATACAGTACCTTGAAGTGGAATTGCTGGGTCATATGGTGACTCTGTTCAATGGTTTGAGGAACTCTCAGATGGTTTCCAAAAGTGGCTGCACCATTTTACATTCCGACCTGCAGTGAATGGGGTTCTCATTTTTTCACATCCTTGTTAACACTTACTATTATCTGACTTTGTTATCCACTGGGTGTGAAGTGGTAGCTCATGGTTTTGACTTACATTTCCCTGATGATCAATGAAGTCAAACATGTTTTCTTGTGTGCTTATTGACCATTTGTATATCTTCCTTGAGGAAGTGTCTATTCAGATCTTTTACCCATTAAAAAATCAGGTTATTTATCTTTTAAAATTGAGTTATAACAGTTCTTTATATTATATTTCTGTGCATAAGTTCTTAATCAAATATATGATTTGCAAATATTTTCTCCCATACTGTGGGTTATCTTTTTACTTATTTAAAAACTTTTTAAATTTAATTTATTGGAGTGACATTAATAAAATTATATAGGTATTTCGGTTGTACAATTCTATAATACATCATCTGTATATTGTATTGTGTATTCACCACCCCAACTCAAGTCTCCTATCACCCGTTACCTTCCCTTTACCCTCTTCTACCTCCCCCCTCTCCCCCTTTGCTCTGGTAATCACCAAACTGTTATCTGTCTTCACTTTCTTTCTTTCTTTTTTTTTAAAATATATTTTATTGATTTTTTTACAGAGAGGAAGGGAGAGAGATAGAGAGTTAGAAACATCGATGAGAGAGAAACATCGATCAGCTGCCTCCTGCACATCTCCCACTGGGGACGTGCCCGCAACCCAAGTACATGCCCTTGACCGGAATCGAACCTGGGACCCTTGAGTCCGCAGGCCGACGCTCTATCCACTGAGCCAAACCGGTTTCGGCTGTCTTCACTTTCTTGATGCGGTCCTTCGAAGCACAGAAGCTTTAGTTCTGATGAAGTACAATTTATTTGACTTTTGTTGCTCTTGTTTTTGGTGTCATATGTAAGTATCCTATTCTGGGAGTTTTTATTGTTTTAGCTTTTGCATTTAGGCTTTTGATCCATTTTGAGCTAATTTTTGTATAGTGTATGGGGTTAGGGTCTGACTTAATTCTTTTGCATGTGGCTGTTCAGTTATCCCAGGGCCATTTGTTGAAAAGATTTTTCCTTTTTCATTGAATAGCCTTGGCACCCTTGTGGTGACCATAAATATGTGGGTTTATTTCTGCTCTCATAATTCTATTTTATTGATCCATATGTCTATTCTTATACTAATACCACACTGTTTTGGTTATCATGGTTTTGTGGTAAGTTTTGAAGTTGGAGAAGTATGAGTCCTACATTCTTTTTAAGATTGTTTTGCTTATTGGTTCCTGTCCTCTTTTGCATTTAGAGTTCATGTGCTTATATTGTGCCCACGTGGATAATCCAGGGTAATCTCCCTATTTTTAAAAAGTATTTTTTATTGATTTTAGAGAGGAAGGTAGACAGAGAGAGAGAGAGATAGAAACATCAATGATGAGAGAGAATCATCGATTGGCTGCCTCCCGCACTCCCCTCACTGGAGGTCAAACCCGGGACCCCTTAGTCTGCAGGCCCATGCTCTGTCTACTGAGCCAAACTGGCCAGGGCTAATCTCCCTATTTTAAAGTCAGCTGATTAGTAAACATAATTATCGGCAGTCTTTTTTTTTTTTTTTTTTTGCCATGTAAGGTAACATAATCACAGGTGAAATATCAGAGATCAAAGGTCATGGGGCTTAGATTTGTGAAAAGATTGAGAATAGTAGGAGCAGAAGTTGGACAGAGAGATATAAATGAAAGTTGTAGAAATATTAATTTGTCTGAAGTCACATTTCTAATAAGTGGCAGAGCTGAGATTTGAATGCAGATATGACTGATGGTTATGATCTTATGACCACACCAAATTGGTCTTTATAGACTCATAGCAACTATTATTGTTTTTATCTTAATACCTATTGAGCTCTTAGTATATACTAAGCAGACTTCATAGAAATCCTGTTATATTTTTCTAGCTCTAGAATAGTACCTGGACAAGTCTTTGGGTACAGATAAATAGACTGTATTGGAACAAGTGTAAAAAAAAAAAAAAGAAAACAACAGTGGGGATCAGGATTGTGTCTCAGAATCTGAGGGTAGGCAGGCAACTGAACCTTAGGAATGGACTGAAACTGAGAAATGGAAACGTTTCAGGACCTAGAGCAGTGGTTCTCAACCTTCTGGCCCTTTAAATACAGTTTCTCATGTTGTGACCCAACCATAAAATTATTTTCGTTGCTACTTCATAACTGTAATGTTGCTACTGTTATGAATTGTAATGTAAATATCTGATATGCAGGATGGTCTTAGGCGACCCCTGTGAAAGGGTGGTTCGACCGCCAAAGGGGTCGCGACCCACAGGTTGAGAACCGCTGACCTAGAGAGTATTTTTCTTCTGCTACTTTTCTCTGCTTTTGGTGTGTATCTATTTCACTCTGCAGACCTGTTATCCTGTTACTCAGGTCACCTGATGGAAGATGGTCATGCCACACTTACTCAATCATTCAAGAGAGCCCAGATTAGTCTCATTTCCAAAACTTCTGTTTGGGTCACATGTCCATCTCTGGTTCAATCAACTGTGGCCCTGAAGTGGCAGGTATACAGACATGGCTGCTGGCAGCCTACCTTTGTGGATTGGGGTAACAGTTCTCAAGAAAAGGAAGGTCGCTGGCACATGTGTTAATTTTAGCGTTGCCCACGGACTGAAGGATCCTGGGTTCGATTCTGGTCAAGGGCACGTACCTTGGTTGCAGGTCCCCAGCCCTGGTTGGGTGCATGCAGGAGGCAACCAATTGAAGTCTCTCTCTCACATCAGTGTTTCTCTCTGTCTCTCCCTCTCCCTTCCACTCTCTCTAAAAATCAGTGGAAAAATATCCTCAGGTGAGGATTAAAAAAAATTTTTTCTTAGTGACACAGACCTGTGCTATAGTATTTGTAGTATAAAAATTAAAAAACTTACTGAATTGATATAAGGAAAAATGGATATTTCATTTTGCCCATTCCTCTTGGAATTGAAGAAAGGGACCACAGGATGATAATGGTGAAAGATTAGCTTAAACTCTCAAAATAGGTTGATGGAAATTGGGATTAGTATACATATAGGCTCTAGTGATGTCCCTGCCACTTTCTACCTTTTTAAAAAAATATATTTTTTTTATTGATTTCAGAGAGGAAGGGAGAGGAAGAGAGAGACAGAAACACCAATGATGAGGGAGTCATTGATCGGCTGCCTCCTGCATGCCCCACATTGGGGATCGAGTCCACAACCGGGCATGTGCCCTGACCGGGAATCGAATCGTAGCCTCCTGGTCCATAGGTCGATGCTCAACCACTGAGCCACACTGGCCAGGCACTACCTTTTTGATTGAACAGGTCATAAACTTCGGTGTCTTCATCTTTATTGTAAAAGGAGAGAACCTAGGGAACAAAAAGTCTTTAAAGTTTCTTCAATTTAACATTCTAGACTCTGGGTAGATTTAGTTCTTCCTCACCACCTCAACCTCATCTACTAAATAAGTATGTTAAATCTAAATGCTGTCCTTGGAGGGCTTTAATATTGTAGAGACAGTAAAGAGTTTTTATAAACTTGCAAGTCTCTCTGCCATGTCTCATTAGTTAATTGTTACAGATCCCACCTGCAAAGTGTTTTGCCACCACTCCCCTTTCCATTCCCACTGCATTGCCTTCTTATTGTAGTTGTCTGTTGATCACTATCCCTGTCTCCTGCACTTTTCCTCCGATCCAACCTAGAAATTGCCTCTCAAAAAATTTTTTTTTAATCCTCACCCGAGGATATTTTTTCCATTGATTTTCAGAGATGGTGGGAGGGAGAGAGGGAGGGAGGGAGAGAGAGAGAGAGAAAGAAACAGAGAGAAACATCAGCATGAAAGAGGGACATTGATTGGTTGCCTCCTGTACGTCCCCGACCAGGGCCCAGGATTGAGCCTGAAACCAAAGTGTGTGCTCTTGACTGGCATTAAACCCGAGACCCTTCACTTCGCCAGCTGACGTTTTAACCATTGAGCAAACCGGCTGGGGCTCAAGTTTTTATTTTTAATTATACAGTAAAATTGAGTTTTTGAAGGGTGTATAGTTTTTATTATTGACAGTATTATGGATGTCTCCAATTTTCTCCCTTTTTGCTCCCCTTCATCAATCCCTACCCCACCCCAGGCCTTTCCCATTCTATTGTCTGTGTCCATGGATTATGCATATCCTATATAATAAAAGCCTAATATGCTAAGTGTCTGACTGTTAGACCAGTCACTATGACCCACACTGACCGCCAGGGGCAGATGCTCAACGCAGGAGCTGCCCCCAGGTGGTCAGTGAGCTCCCACAGAGGGAGCACCGCTCAGCCAGAAGCCAGGCTCATGGCTGGTGAGCGCAGCGGTGGTGGCGGGAGCCTCTCCCACCTCTGCGGCAGCACTAAAGGACATCAAGCAGGTGGGTAGTAAGGAGCCAGGGGTCCTAGACTGTGAGAGGGCACAGGCCTGGCTGAGGGACCCCCCGCCTCCCCCTCCAATGTACGAATTTTGTGCACCAGGCCTCTAATTGTAAATAATGGTGCTATGAACATAGGGGTGCATATATTCTTTCTTTCTCATTGGTATTTAGGGATTCTTAGGATACAGTCCCAGAAGTGGGATTGCTGGATTGTGCTATTTTTTTTTTTTGATAGACACCCTCCCCCTAATTCTAATTCCTAACAAACACTGATCATACAATGTGTAAACTTTTTTTTTTAAATATATTTTATTGATTTTTTACAGAGAGGAAGGGAGAGAGATAGAGAGTTGGAAACATCGATGAGAGAGAAACATCAATCAGCTGCCTCCTGCACATCTTCTACTGGGGATGTGCCCGCAACCCAGGTACATGCCCTTGACCGGAATTGAACCTGGGACCTTTCAGTCCGCAGGCCAACGCTCTATCCACTGAGCCAAACCGGTTTCGGCATGTGTAAACTTTTAAAACTGGCTTCATTCACTCATCATTAAGCCAATTTTTGGCTATGTCAGTACTGCCCCCCACCCCACCCCCCTTTTTTTGTTTTGTTTGCTGAGAAGCATCCGTTGCATGGATGTACCACAGTTGTTTATCCATTCACTGATTGAAGGATATTTTGGTTGTCTCCTTTTTTTAATGGTCCTGAGTAATGCTACTGGAAATATTTGTGTATGGATTTTTGAGTGAACATAAGTTTTATTTCTCTGGAGGAAATAACCAGAAGTGGGATTGCTGAGTTGTATGGTAAGAATATGTTTAACTTTTTTTAAAACTATCAGGCTGCTTTTCATGGTGGCTATATTATTTGCATTCCACTAGGAATGTATGAGTGTTTAGTTGCTCTGCATCCTTGCTACCACAGGTATTGTTGGTATTTTTAATTTCAGCCATTCTAATAAATGTGTAGTGATATCTCATGGTGGTTTTAATTTACATTTCTCTACTGGATGATGATGTTGAACAACATGTGCTTATTTGCCATGTTGTTAAGAACTGTGAAGGACCTGAGTTTTTACCCTGCATACAGGTAACAAGTGAGCCTGCCAGTTTCATGCATGCTGGCAGAAGACATGAGATCCTGAGTCAGAGACAAAGTACTTTACTGTTCAAAGGGCGTTTATAAAACAAGCTTTATCTTCACTTGGGCTACCTTTACTCCCAAGTCGCATAGGGGTGATGCCACAGCTGAGGAATCCAAGCTTAGGGAACCCAAATCTTTTACAACAGGCAGCAAACAGACCTGCCTGACCTTTGACCTGGAGGGAAACATTGTATCTATTTTACTGGACAGTACACAAACTTGTCCTCTGCTGGGGTGGGAATGAGTAGGGGAGATAATTATGTGTTTCTTTTAAGAATGTTAAGATATTCAAGGATGCTTGCAAAGACCTCTTGGACGAAACTGTGAGAATTGTCTCCCAGCATGTATGTTTTCTTTAGATCACTCTCTTCAAGTCTTTCGCCCATTTTGTAATTGGGTGGTTTTTCTTAGTGTTGATTTTTGAGCATTTTTAAATCTGGTCATTTGTTAAATTTGTGATTGCATGTATTTTCTCCCAGTCTGTAGTTTGTCTTTTCATTTTCTTAATAGTGTCATTTGCAGAGCAAAATTTTTTAGTTTTGTTGTCCAGTTCGGGCTGCAAGTTCTAACCCACCTTCTGTGATTCCAATGTCGGTTCACTTTTCAAAGCCTTTACAGTGCTATTTTGATCTGTTTCACGTATGTGCCAGTTTGAAACTTGTGCAGTGTCTCGGTTAGTTTGAATTTTAGTCTTTTGTCCTGAATAGCATCAGATCCATTATACACAGCTAGGGGTGGGTGAGCCCAGGAGTTCACAAACAACATTTTCAGGTTGCTTTCTTGAGTTCTTGTCAGTGTGTTCTCCTATATGTTTTTTGGTTCCTAGGTTCTCATCTTTTCTGGCCAGAAAACAGTGGAGTGAGTTATGCTACTCTGTCATATACACTGTACTTCCATGACTGTCTCACAGTTGGGGCCAAGAAATGGGAGGATAGAGAGCGGAGAAAATTGATAATTCCCCTTCCTCAGAGTTTGGTTTCTGCAATCTGTCTTTTCAGGCATTGCTGTATGTGGTTGCTTGGGTGCTGTAGCTCAGGAGAAGAGGTTAAAAATAATAAATTGGAGGGATTTTCATATTTTCTCTCAGTGTTAGAAGTTCCCTTTCTCCTTCCTTGAGCCCGAAGTAGAGGATCTATCTCTGCCTTGGTGTGCGTTTCTGGGTTGGCTCAGTGATACTGGAGGGGAAAATGATAAATTTTACCCAGGGTTTGGTGATATATTGAATTCTGGTCTTCTTTCCCAATTCTCCTCCTCCCTTTTGCCGTTGAGAATCCCCAAGTAGTGCTTAGTGTATACCATACACATTTTATAGCTGGACTAAGACTTCATGTGGCCCTTGATGTCTGTTGTTGCTTTTTCTTGTTTTTATTTTTATGCTTGACTTCCTTCTAAGGGTCACCCCTGTGCTTGCATACCTTAATGCTCAGTCTAACATTGTTGTTTGTTCAGACAAAGAATTTGTGTGCAAACACTACTAGCCAGTAAGGCTTCCTTCCACTCTGGCCATCAGAACCTGTGCATACACAGAGGAGACAGAGAGAGGCCAGCAGAAAGAGCTGGTGGCCTGCAGTGTAAATGCACTCCTTGGCTAACACATTGACTCATCAGCATAGAGGAAGTTTTGTCCATTTTTATAGTTGATTTTGGGGGAGAAAAATTTATTGTCCACCTCACTTCATAAAACAGAACTTCATCTCTCAAGTTTTAATGTCTATTTAAAATCATGTCTCATCATGATTTCCCCTTTTCAGGAGCTTTCAGTGGTGGTTCAATCAGACTGTATAGCCTGAAGTTTTTAAAAACCGCCATAGTTGACTTCACACTTAATTTCTTCAGTTAACCTATTTATACTACATCATTTTCTTTCCTATTTCCAAGCTTTTTGTAAAAGATGTTCTTCCTGTCTAGAATGTTCTTCCACTTTTGTATCATTCCTCCAAGACCCTCTAAGGTTCAACTCAAAACTCTTTAAGGTCTACACCTCCATCCCCTGGCCCAAGTGGTCTCTTCATGCTCCTTAAGTCAGAATTACCTTGTCTTTTTCTTCCCCATAGTTTCATAGCACTATATCTTTATGCATTACTCAGTATGCCTTATTTTGGTTTTTGTTGTTGTTGTTATGAACTTTCTGAGGGGAAGGACATGTTCTATTAGTTGTATTAACAGTGGTATCTAGCCTGGTCTGTGCACACAATTGGCACTTAGTAAATTATGATAAGATCCACAAGATACAGGACTTACTTTTTTCTAGACATGTGAGCTTCTTGAATACATGCTGTGGAGTGCCACTTTTTTTCTTTTCTTTTTTTAAAAATATATTTTATTGATTTTTTACAGAGAGGAAGGGAGAGGGATAGAGAGTTCGAAACATCAATGAAAGAGAAACATCGATCAGCCGCCTCCTGCACACTCCCTACTGGGGATGTGCCTGCAACTAAGGTACATGCCCTTGACCGGAATTGAACCTGGGACCCTTGAGTCCGAAGGCTGACGCTCTATCCAATGAGCCAACCCGTTAGGGCGCCACTTTTTTTCTGTGCTTGCTTGGCAGTTAGTTTATGGGCAGAAAAATGAAGACCATTTTATTCTGTGAATTTAAATGGAAATTGGTGGGTAGCAATTTATAATACAGTCCTGGTGCTATGAGCAAATAAGACATGGTATAGTAGAAAAGAAAACAGACTTAGAGACTTGTTAAGGTATTATTTCAAATTTTAACTCTAACAGGTGTGACATTAGACAGGACCACCCCATCCCTCTTTTCAGAGCTCTCAGGTGGTTCTTCCTCACTCCCTTAACAGCTATAACATGGTAGCAGCAAAAATAAAATAGGGATTGGTAAATGAGTCAACCTAACAGGATTAGTAAGATCTAGTTGATTGCCAGAGATGAAGACTACCTTACCAAATAAGGAATCTTGTTAGATAATAGCTTTGCAGAAAATTCAAATTATTTTGCTGATAGCCTATAAAGGAAAGTCATAGCTAAAAATTTTTCTGGTTTCCTAATCAACTTATGACACATATTTATATCTTACATAAGTCCTCATTTGTATCAAATCTTGCCCAGTTGGTGTGGCTCGGTGGTTGAGTGTTGAACTATGAACGAGTAGGTCATGGTTCAATTTCCGAACAGGGCACATGCCCAGGTTGTGGGTTCCATCCACATTGGGTGGTCGTGGTGGTGGTGCAGAATGCACCCGATCAATGATTCTCTCTCATCATTGATGTTTTCATCTCTCCCTTCCACTCTGAAATCAATAAAGATATATTAAAGAAAAATAGTTTGTATCAAATCTTAAAGGAAACGTATTCACTGTTCAAATGAAGGCTGAATAGAAAGCAGCCCTATCTCCATATGCAATTCAAAACACATATTGAGCACCTTAGCACCATACTGTGTTCTGTTGGGAATATAAAGCAGCTCTTCAAGATGCTTCTAGACTAAGTGAGAGGAAGTCAAACATGCAATTTTTTTTTAAATCCTCACCCAAAGATATGTTTTTATTGATTTTTTTTTTTAAGAGAGAAAAACATTGATGTGAGAGAGAAGCATCAATCGGTTGCTTCCCGTATGTTCCCAGACCAGAGATCAAACCCCCAACTTTTTGTGTATGGGATGACGCCCCAACCGAGTCATCCAGGCAGGGCAGAAATGATCCTTTATGATGAAGTAGAATGGACTTAACTGGTTCCTAAATAAGTAATGTTACAAGAATGGAGGTTCAGTTATTTCTGGGTGGAAGGAAGCTCATGGGAAGTTTCATTGAAGGAATGATCCTTAAAATGAACTTTAAATAGTGAATCATCTTTGAAAAAGCAGAAGAAAAGTATAGGAAAGAATTCTAAGCTGAGGCACAAACTTGCATGTTTTGTTTAGGAGATAATCATATGAACAGTACTGTGCTCAGGGATGTGAGTTGAGTTTGGACAAGTAGATTGGGGACAATGTGGTACGAGGATTTTGGAAGCTCACCTGGTTTTAAATTCCTTTTCTTTTGTTTTCAGTAGAGTTTATGTGCTTTTGAAAATTTCTCTGAACCTGAGATTTCACATGTGAAAAAATGGAGATAATGTCTACCTTGGGGTTTGTTTGTTTGTTTGCCATAAATAATTATATTAAGTACCTGTGACAATATTGTGTATGTAGTGAGTGGTGACAACTAGTGGGCTCATGTTAATTTGTCCTAGATTGCTAAGGTTCCTGAATGCCTTCTTGAAGAGTTTAGATTGTTCTGATGCTTTCATTATATTCATTTTCTTGGTAAATGTTGAATTATTTTATTTGAGACAAAATATTCACTTTTATATCACTATTGAATTTGTTCTGTGCAGATGTTTTTAAGTTTGCTGTAGTCCCATTTGTCTGTTTTGTTACTTGTGCTTTTGGTGTAATATCCAAGAAATTGTTGCCAAATTCAATGTCATGAAGTTTTCCCCCTATGTTTTTTTCTAGGAGTTTTATAATTTTATGTTTTACTGTTAGGTCTTTAATATAACATTAGTCCTTTCTTAAGGTGTTCATTATGTAACTGGGCAGGGAATAAGAAGTCTTTTCTTTAATATGACTATGTCAAGAATTTGCTTTATTTAAACTGTCCTTTTTCCCTCCCTTTCTCCTTCCCTACCTCCTCCTCTCCCTTTTCTTCCTTCTCTTCTTCCCTCCCCTATAACTTGAAGATATGGAATCATTTTTGGGGTATTAATTGCTGTGCTGATAGAATAATTCATTTTCAACAACACTTTCTTGTTTGTTATTTGATTAACAGGAAGAAAATGAGCCTTAAGTCTGAACGCCGAGGAATTCACGTGGATCAATCAGAGCTCCTTTGCAAGAAAGGATGTGGTTACTACGGCAACCCTGCTTGGCAGGGTTTCTGTTCCAAATGCTGGAGGGAGGAGTACCACAAAGCCAGGCAGAAGCAGATTCAGGAGGATTGGGAACTGGCAGAGCGGTAAAAAGACTTAACTAGGGGTGGTTTTACAGTGATATAACTGGATACATAGTACTGTTATTGTCAGAATAAATTTTTTCTCTTCTGTCTTGGGCTATCAGCAGGTCAGCCTAATATTAAGTGAAAAAAATGCCCCTCTTCTTCTCAGTCAACATTTAATGAATAGCTTTCAGTGCCTTCATTTTGTCTTACCATTTAAGTATTTTGTGTTTGAGGTGTGTGTGTTTCCTAATACAGACAATAACATTTGGGAGTAGAAGAATGGAGGTAAACATACTTCATGGTGGAGGCTAAATGAGGTAACATTTATGATGTCCTTAGCACAGGACTTGGCACATGGCTCTCATCAAGCATTGTTTTTCCCCATCACAAATAATGTTAACCCTTTGCCAGAGCATCCTTGAAACTGAAACTTCTCAGTAAAAGAAAGTCAAGCTGAACTCTGACCACTTTTGCTAGTTTTATATCTAATTAGCCACATTTGAGTGACCACTTTTCTAACATCTGTGAATGCACAGAATTAAATAGTACACTCACCACTTTTGGTGACTCCATGGTCAATCAAAGAGAGAAAAAATATATATAGAACATTAACTATTCCTTCAGGTTTCTCACTGCATTCCTGATATTCTCAGTAGCTGATCTATTTCAGGACGAAGTAGAGGATACTAAACATGAATGCTCTTAGCTTTCTCCCCTCTTCACTGCCAAATGTACTAATATCTATATTACCTTCTATTTTGTTTCAGAGAAAGATGTATCTGTATTCCATTCTCAGATTAACCACCTCTCCCTGTCATTTTGTTGCTATTTCTTACTCCTTTCAATTGTAATCTTGCTTGAGGTTTCCTACAGGCATGAGAATCACCTGGATGGAAATCTTGTAAAAACAATGATTGCTGGACCTATTCCCAGAGTCTCTGAATTTATTAGGTTGGGAGTGAGGCCTGAAAATTTGCATTATGACAAGTTCCTAAGTGATGCTGATGCTATTATCTGAGGAATCACACTTTGAGAACCATTGTTCTATAGATAGCTTTTGAGATTTATTATAAATACCTCAAATTCAGCAGTTCTAAGGCCAAAATTAGTGCTTTTATTTACTCTAATCCCCATTTTCAACATTTTTTCCTAACCTCTTTCTGAATCAGTTAATGACATTACCATTAATTCAGTTGGTTAAAAAACATTGGCGTATTCTTAATTTCTCCTTCACCTCTCACACTATCTACAACTAGTTGTGCAAGTTCTACTTTTTTGAGCTTAGAGAAGTCTTTTTAATTTCACCCTCTCCTGTTTTCTAGGTCCTATTTTCTCTCACTTAAATATGTGTAATATATTCTTAATTATTGTCCCTGTCTCTAGTCTCTCTGCCCCTCCTGTTGTCACACAACTGCCTGTATTATCTTTCTAAGTACAGATCTGATCATGGTAACTTACTGGATTTACAGTCTTTTTGGTTTCCCACCACATAGTGAAATCCAGGATGATAGTGGGTCCGCAGCCAAGGTTTCTTACCATCTGGTGCCTATACACAAATAAGCCTCATATTCATCACACCATTGGTACTCTGACTACACTGGACTTGGTTTGTAACAAGAACCTTATGCCTTCACATTTGTAGCTCCTTCTTCCCAGAATGCCTTTGACTTGGTGGAATCTTATTCATCCTTTAAGACATACCTAAATGTCACCATTGTGAAACCTTCTTGGACTCCTCTAGCAGATTTAGTTGTTCTTTCCTGTATTCTCATAGCACTTGTGTTTTACTCTCTACTATAGGAGCTGTTACATTATATTGTAATTATTTACTTATCTTTTTCTTCTTTTTGACCTTGAGCTTATTAGGGAAAAGGACTGGACTTTCTTTTATGTAACCCTCGTACAGTTGCTGAATGAACATGATCTGTGGAGAAAGTCTCTTTTAAAATCTATAGTTGCATGTAGGATAGTTTCATGTCAGAAACTACAGACCTATTATTTGGTACATTTGGCCTCTAGTTCTAAAAACTTTAGATCCTCCTCAATTCATTGAGTAATAACCTTTAGATACAAGGAAAACTTGGAGAATATCTGGGTCATTAATCCTCTCTTGAATTACAGACTACAGCGGGAGGAGGAAGAGGCCTTTGCCAGCAGTCAGACCAGCCAAGGGGCTCAGTCCCTCACATTTTCCAAGTTTGAAGAAAAGAAAACCAATGAGAAGACTCGCAAGGTTACCACAGTGAAGAAGTTCTTCAGTGCTTCATCCAGGGTTGGATCAAAGAAAGGTAATTTTCTGATTTTCTTTTTTTCTTCTGTGCCCAAATGAAGTACAGAGTAGATCCACATACATGTAGGCTCAGACTTTTAATTTCTGTAAAAGCTTTTAGAGACCATGAACTCAGATTTGAGGGTCAGGTGACATATGAAATTGGGTTTGAGGGTCAGGCAATATATGAAACAAAAAATCTCTTTGGTTGGTTTTTTTTTAGAGAAGCTTGTTTAAAGAGAAATGAAATATATAGCTTTCTTTATAAAATTCATGCCCATCTAAATGGCTGTCTTTTTTGGATGTTCTATTTTTTTGTGCCTTTAATTTTTGGATCCTGGTTTATTCTCCTTTACGTGTTGTCCCTACCATTCATGTCTTATCAGAAATGGCTGTTTCTAGGCTTGAAGTCATCTAAAAAGGAAGTTTTCTGAGAGCTTATCTGAGAGACAGTATTGAGGAAATATATGGAGAACATATACAAAAAGACTCACTTTGGGCTTTTAGATTGGTGAACATAACCCATAGTATGCATTTTCTAGTGTGTGGATGTGTATGTACTTGACCTTATTCATCCTACTTCTTAAAATGCCATAAACCAGCAACAGGATTATCGCTAAAGTCACACTTGTTCTACCAGTGAGCAGTCTAGCAGGAAGCAAGAGAGAATGTCTGCTGTTAGGACTTGGTCTCTGAACATTTATATTGGTAACCGTTGTGCAGTAAATTTGGAATAGTGAGGAAGCATGGGAACTAACACTGATGCAGTCAGAAGAGTTCTTTTCTTGGGAGCCCCGTCTCATTCCCAGCCCCTCAACTTGCGGTATTTGGGATGAGGTTTTTGGCCTGCCTAAAGGCAGGGGAATGAATAACATCACTCCTTAAGATCTTTGCTGGTCTTGGATTTAATGACTCTTGTTTAGTTTTATTAAAGGAAAGGTTGCTTATAAGCAGAAAAACAAATCTTTAAATAATCTTTTAGTTCACATGATTAATTTGGAGAATAGTCAATACCCGCTGGAGATTAAATTAAAAATATATTTGGCTCATGATTTATTTATTAGGAGATAGTATAGTAAGGTGGTTAAAAACATAAGCTTTGGAGTCATCCTGGTTTGAGTCTCAGCTTTGTGGTTTACTGGCTGTGTGACTCAGAGCAAGCTAATCTCTTTAAGCCTGTCTGTTCTGAAGGACAGTAATACTTACCATAGGCATGTCTTTAGGTTAAATAAGTTGATGTGCATAAAGAGTTTAGCACAGTACCTGACATACATTGTAAGTATACAGTAAGTGTTAATTAATTTAAAACCAATAAATGTTTTTCTGAGAGAATAATCTCTGCTAGTAGAGAGCTCAAGGGCATTGATCAAAGTCATTCCTTCCTAGTTAGCTTAAATTCTGTTTCCTGCTTTGGGAAAAGTCTCACTAATCTTATGAATTTACTAGAGGTCCGGCACACGAAATTCGTGCATGGGTATGGTCCCTAGGCCTGGCCTATGACTAGGGCCATCTTCCCCGGCTGCCTACAGCTGGTCCTGCCTCCCGCCGCCACCCACCCACAGTTCCCCATTCGCCATTGGGTGATCGGAGCCTGCCGGCCAGGGGGAGGAACTGAGAGGTCGGCCATTCCGCCCGCTCGCCAGCCTCGCCCCCGCAGCAGGTTGCCCTCTGTATGTGAGGCAACTGGTGGGGTGGGGGCCTTGGCCTGGTGCCACCTGCGTCACCCGCCACCCACCCCTGGCTCCCCGTTCGCCATTGGGTGATTGGAGACTGCTGGCCAGGGAAAGGGACCGAGAGGTGGTCAGTGCGCCTCATAGTGACTGGTCGAGTGGTCGTTCTGGTAGGGTCAATTTGCATATGACCTTTTTATTATATAGGACAGTGATGGCAAGCCTATGACACGCATGTCAGAGGTGACACGCGAACTCATTTTTTTGGTTGATTTTTCTTTGTTAAATGGCATTTAAATATATAAAATAAATATTAAAAATATACATCTTTGTTTTACTATGGTTGCAAATATCAAAAAATTTCTATATGTGACACGGCACCAGAGTTAAGTTAGGGTTTTTTAAAATGCTGACACGCCGAGCTCAAAAGGTTCACCATCACTGGTATAGGATGATAGATGATGAAATGGCATATGACAGCAGATGAAATAGTACAGAAATTATAAAACTATTAACTCTAACCTGCCTCATTTTACAAATGACATGAAGCTCATAAAAGTTATCTAATTTACCCAAAGTTATATGAGTTGATGTATTAGAGCTCAGGTCTCCTAACTCCTGGCTTAGTGTTTTTCCTTGAATTCGTGTGTGTGCGCGTGCGTGCGTGTGTGTGTGTGTGTGTGTGTGTGTGTTTATCTATATCTTTACCTATATGTATAGACATTTGATGAGGTTTCTATTACTGAAGTGCATAATAATCATGTGCATTCACTGACCATCTTTGACAGTTTTAGAAAAATGTTCTAAGAGCTTCTGACAATGTGCATCATAGTATAGAAAGAAGATTGGTACTTTAAAAGAAACAATTCCAAGTTATTTTTATTTAAAAACCTTTACATGGCCCTCGCCAGTTTGGCTCAATGGATAGAGTGTCGGCCCTTGGACTGAAGGGTCCCAGATTTGATTCTGGTCAAGGGCATGTGTCTCAGTTGCAGGCTCAATCCCCTGCCCTAGTCAGGGCGCATGCAGGAGGCAACCAATCAATGTCTCTCTCTCACATTGATGTTTCTCTCTATCTCTCCTGCTCCCTTCCACTCTCTCTAAAAATCAGTGGAAAAATATTCTCAGGTGAGGATTAACAAAAAGTAAATTAAAAAAGAAAACCTTTATACGGAATATTTTTTATTATTTTTTCTTTTAGAATGATACGTTTTTACTTTGATTTTTTATCTTTAGTTATTTTTATTGTTTGTTTATAGAAAGCATATGGGGGAAAAGACCTCAAAGTATTGAAAAAATTAATGTGTGTAAAGAGGATACTGTTGGATCTTTTTTTTCCACAAACTTATGTAACTTTGCTAGATGGACTTAGCATTTTAGACTGATTGTTTGGCCTTTGCATGTAGGTGAGGTTAACCTATTCTAAATGTGTTTTAATTTATTGAGTCTAAACTAAGATAGACCTTTTGTGTTTTGTGTCCTTTATTTTACTTCATTAATACATGATGCCCTTGCTCTTGATATTTTACTTCTTTGGTAGCACAAAAGAAAGCTGTTAAGCCAGGGCAGCTTGGTAATAAACAGAACACAAATAACCTTCTAAAGATTTGAAGACTATTTTAACAAGCATGAGATGGTTGACTGTAAAAACTTAGAGAGTTTACATATAGTTTTCTAATCTCCAAAGTAAGCTTGAGTGAGCTAAAGCTTACAGAGTAATTTATAGTGGGTTGGCCAAGTGGAAATACTTGCTCATACATTTAAAAATTCCCACTTTTTAAGAGCTCAAATAGATGTTGTCACACTAAGTAAAAACTTGCAAACAATTTACAAATGAATCTAAAAGTTATGCTCCTAGAATTAAAATACTAGTCTTCCACCTAGTTATTAGATTCTAATACTGTTCTTCACTAAACTGAACTATGGTTCCTTGGAGAAATGACTGATTCCAGGGCTGGAACTGGGAAAGAGGACCCCCAAAAATGTTGGGGACATGGCAAAGACCCAGAAACGAGCTTGAATGGGTTCCCACTGGCCAAACTGGAGTATCAGAATAAATAAGGACAATCAATGGAGTGTAACTTATTGAATAAAATAATAATCCATTAGTCCCGCCAACTAATAAAATAGATAAATAATTAAAGGAGAAGAGAAAGTTCTTCTTTACCAAAGAATGTTAACTAATCAATATGAAAAGGATGATGGAGATAGAAAAATCACTATTTCACAGTTGTCATAGTAAGGATTGATTCAGGCAAGTTTCATCATCTGGGTTGAGAGGAGGGAGTTTACTGAGGAACAAGTTAAGAACTGGTCTCAAATGAACTCCCATAACTTATTTATTAATTACAAATAGAGAAATGGTAACTATGTAACTAGGGGGAAGGTAGACATTATGTGCTTCCAGATAATGATACTTTGAAAAGAGCACAGCATAAGCTGAAAATTTATAACTTGAATGCAGTCATGAGGAAACAGCAGAGAAACCAGAACTGAGGGGCATTCAATGAAATAACTGGCCTGTATGTTTCTAAATTGTGAATGTCTTGAAAAACAAAGGCAGGTTGGGAGCATTTCCAGATTAAAGAAGACTAGTGCCTGGCCGGTATGGTTCAGTGGTTGGGCGTCAACCTATGAACCAGGAGGTCGCGGTTTAATTCCCAGTCAGGGCACATGCCCAGGTTGCAGGCTTAATCCCCAGCGTGGGCCATGCAGGAGGCAGCCAATGAATGATTCTCTCTCATCATTGATGTTTCTGTCTCATTCTCCCTCTCCTTTCCTCTCTGAAATCAATAAAAATACATGTTTTTTTTTATTTTTTTTAAAAGACTAGTATACATGACCACTAAATGAACGTGTGATTCTCAGTTTCTTTTGTTTTCATTTATAAATACATATATCTTTATCCCAACTTCCCTATTTTATTTTATTTTTTTAAAATATATTTTATTGATTTTTTACAGAGAGGAAGGGAGAGAGATAGAGAGTTAGAAACATCGATGAGAGAGAAACATCGATCAGCTGCCTCCTGCACATCTCCTACTGGGGATGTGCCCGCAACCCATGTACATGCCCTTGACCGGAATCGAACCCGGGACCCTTCAGTCCGCAGGCTGACGCTCTATCCACTGAGCCAAACCGGTTTCGGTTTTCCCTATTTTACATAAAAGATAGCACTACATATATCCTCATTTTTAAACGTAGCAATACAGCCCTAGCAGGTTTGGCTCAATGGATAGAGCGTCGACCTGTGGACTGAAGGGTCCTGGGTTCATTTCTGGTCAAGGGCACATGCTAAGGTTGTGGACTCAATCCCCAGTAGGGGGCATGCAGGAGGCAGCCAATCAATGATTCCCTCTCATCATTGATGTTTCTATCTCTCCCTCTCCCTCTCTGAAATCAATAAAGATATATTTTAAATAAATAAACTTAGCAATACATTTAAGAACGTCTTCCTTTTATCACTACATAAAGGCTATTTGTTTTAAAATTACACAATATTCCATTTTGTGGATTAAATAATAATTTATGTAATCCCTTAAGTCACCATTTTGTACAGTTGCAGTATTGTGCTAACATGAGTAGCCTTATACATACTTTATTTTGTACATACGCAATTGTATCAGAAAATTTCTGAAAAATGGAATTGTTTGGTCATAGGATAAATGTATTTTTAATTTTCATGATTATTACCAAATTGCACTTCATTGCAGTTATATCATTTTACATTCCCACCTTCATGAGTGCCTTCCCCCATATCCTCATCAACATCAAACTTCAAATTTTTGTCTATTTATTACTTTTTTAAATGGCATCTCATAGTAGTATTAATTTGCATATTTGTTAACAGGAGTGAGATTGAACATATTTCCTGTTTAAGATCCATTTATGTTTCCTTTTTGTGAATTGTTAGTATTCTTTACCCATTTCATATTAAACTGTTCAATTTTTTTTTTCTTCTTTTTTTTTTTTTTTTTAGCAACAATCTTTTTTTTTTTTTTTTAAATATATTTTATTGATTTTCTACAGAGAGAAAGGGAGAGAGATAGAGAGTTAGAAACATCGATGAGAGAGGAACATCGATCAGCTGCCTCCTGCACATCTCCTACTGGGGATGTGCCCGTAACCCAGGTACATGCCCTTGACCGGAATCGAACCCGGGACCTTTCAGTCCGCAAGCCGACCGGTTTCGGCTTTTTCTTCTTTATAGGAGTCCTTTTACATTAGGGAGAGTAGCCCTTTGTGCTGTAACATACAAACATTTTTTCCCAGTTTGTTGTCCAACTTCTGACTGATGTGTTTCTAGTCACATATACAGTATTTTTTGTGTGCTTTTTTCCTTTATTTTTCTTTTAATGTGATTGAATTCTTTAATGGCTTCTACATTTTGAATCATAGTTAGCACCTGATAATTTAAAAACTAGGCAAATACTTGTTTTGGGAAGATAACTATGAAGTGCAGTTTTCTTCTGCTAACTACTTAATAGTACAGTTTGGGGGGAGGTGTTTTTACTTTAATTAGAGCATAAGTCAAGTAATTAAGTAACACATTTAATAACCAGTTATGTAATAAGTGAGATGTGGAGTGATTAATTTGTTACAGGTAATAGTGTATATTTTTAGGTAATCTATATGTGTTTGTTTCACTTGAATAAACCAGGCAATCTAATAGAAATAATGCCTTTATTAAAACTTTATTTTGTCCTAACCAGTTTGGCTTAGTGGATTGAGTGTCGGCCTGCGGACTGAAAGGTCCCAGGTTTTATTCCAGTCAAAGGCACATGCCCGGGTTGCAGGCTCAATTCCCAGTAGGGGGCATGTAGGAGGCAGCTTATCAATGATTCTCTTTGATCATTGATGTTTCTATGTCTCTCCCTTTCCCTTTTTCTCTCAAATCAATAAAAAAATATATTTTTAAAAACTTTATTTCAACTTCATTAAAATGTATATTAGGTACTAAAGTTCAAAAAATAAGAGTATAAGAAATTACTCTAAGAAAACATGTAATAGGTTGATTTTTAATACCTTAAAAAGATTATTTTTTTCTTAATTATCTTTCTTTTTGTGTTAAAAGGAAAGTATGGATGTATAAGGTACCTAATTCCTTATAGGTATTGAATTAGAGAGCACAGTTCAAAAGTAGGAGGTTTAGAATGTGATAGGAGACCAAGTGATAGTTCATACTTTCTGAGAGTGCTTACTCTTACATCTCCCTTACCTCTGTTCCATGACTGTCCCATTTTCCTTTTAGTGTATGTATGTATATATGTATTTATTTATTTAATACTTTTGTGGTGTTTTTTTAAAAATACATTTTTATTGACTTCAGAGAGGAAGGAAGAGGGAGAGAGAAATAGAAACATCCATGATGAGAGAGAATCATGGATTGGCTGCCTCCTGCAAGTCCCCCACTGGGGATTATGCCCACAACTTGGGCATATGCCCTTGATCGGAATCGAACTTTTAGTTTGCAGGCCGACGCTCTATCCGCTGAGCCATACCAGCTAGGGCTTTAGTGTATTTATTGAAGAGAAAAAGAGTATGTGGCCAATTCATTGGACAGTGTTTTATTTGCTTCCCTTGCCTCTTAGCTGTATGCTCTGTCATGATCATTATGCTACTTAAATGCAGTCTTTTACTTTGAGCAGTCTGACTTGAAAACCGAATGTTGGATAAATAATTGTTAATCTCCACATAAACAAATTAGCCTTTTGCCTTTTTGGCAAGTAAAATGGATTTGGAAAGGTTGTCTAATATTTTATAAGTCATCTAAATTTTTCTACTTCTGATTATTTCACTTAATTAGTTTTATAAACTCATGCAAACCTTTGAGAAAGTTGTTCAAGACAGTGGTGCCATTTTAGTTTTAATGATTAAATATATAGATCAAAGCATGATATATTTTGGCCAAAAAAATATAAATAAAGCAACTTTTGTTGGAATAGGGATATCTTTTACATCATATAGGTTTTTTTCTATTTGTATTTTTACTCATAAAATAAATTTAGCTTACTTTAAGGGAAGTTGCCCAAATATTTAAACATAAAATAATTTAAAGTCAAGTTTAACTTTGATTAAGCGTCATTTAAATAATCTTAAATTAGATACTTTAAGTAATTCCATGCATGGCTCTTCTGTGTAATGAAACTTATTTTTAATTTTCCCAGCAGAAATTCAGGAAGCAAAAGCTCCCAGTCCTTCCATAAACCGGCAAACCAGCATTGAAACGGATAGAGTGTCTAAAGAGTTCATAGAATTTCTCAAGACCTTCCACAAGACAGGCCAAGAAATCTATAAGCAGACCAAGATGTTTTTGGAAGCAATGCATTACAAAAGGGTAGGTTGAGAATGACTACTTAGAAACAGAGTTTTGGTTTGAGGAAGGGTCTTCGAGATAATTTAGTGCAACTTTGTCATTTTATACCTGAGAAAATCAAGACCCAGAGATATTAAGTTACCTCAGAAATGACACTGAATAAAGTGAAAACCTGACTCCCAGGCTAGTACTTTTCCACTGCAACTCAGTGGCATTTAGATCATCTTTACGTGGAAAGTGTGTCATCCAAGACACTTTTATAGTATACTTTAGTACTAAGCCTTCCTAACTGTACCTTGTAAACAGTATAAACTACCATAGTTAGTAGACCTTGAGCTCGTAAGTAATAATTGTTAGACCAGTAGCAACCATTTTAGGGTATTTTTGTTTTTGTTTTTTGTATTTTGATTTTAAATTTTCCTCTCCTTGCTAAAGTAGAGAAGGGAAAGCTAGAATTTAGATGTTGAAAGGGACCTTAGCAATTATCTGATTTTAGTCCTTTTATTTTATAGATGGGAAAGTTGAGAGCCAGAGAGGATAAGTCACTTGTCCAAGGTTAACAGCTAGGTTCTGCCGGTGTCAGAACTAGTACTTGTGTGTTTCTTTAACCTGTAATTTCTAACCGATAATTTCAGTTACAATAATTCGTAAGACCACCTATAAAGGGGCTCATTTTGTAAATAGTGATTAATGTGTTTGTAACATACCTCACCCATTAAACTTAGAATTAGCTCTTGTCAAAATATTTTTTAAATATTGAATTCAGTTAGTACAGGAGAAAATAAGCTTTCTTTCTTGGTTTTTTTTTGGTGTGCACTTACACTGAAAATAAACAAACAGGCTTCTGTTTCCACCCTGAAAGTGTTTGCAAGCAAATAGTGAGAGTTAAATAAAGCAAGCAAGATATCATTTACATTTTGAGTTAGAAGTAATGATAGACTTCTTTAATATGAAAAATTCAGATATCATGTGATATACAACTTTCACTTTTATCAGAAGTAAAAACTAAAGTTTTGTAGTTATTTATTCTTCAGCCCATATGAAATATTTACTTGCTCTATATACTGTATTGGCATATATACTATATAGTACACATAGCACATAGCACTATATTTTTAAAAACTGCTGAGCTCAGGTTTGTTTCTTTTTCTTTTGCTCAGAAGTGTAATGTTCCCTTTTTCTGTAATAATTTAGTTGACTTTTGACTCAATATACTGAAGTAAAGAGGTAATTAACAGGTACAGATACTGCCATACTTAATTGTTTTCAAGGCACCACTAATTGATATTAGAGACCTGAATATGGCCTCAGAGTCCTCCTTGTTGAAGAACCACTGTACAACCTAGTTTTCATTTCTACACCAGCACTGTTTTATGTTGAAGTGGCCAAGTCGTATGCATGTGTGCTCAGCATCTAGCATGGTACCTGGCACATACCTGATAGTGAACAGATGTTTGTTAAACTGAATGTCCCTGGGGAAGCCCGTCTAGTCTTTGGCTGCAAGTTAATGTTTCAAATAAATAAAACAGTTTTACACCTGAATGAAGCAACCTTATCTAACTAGCTTCAAATCATTTAATTATAAATTTCTTTTTTTTTTATTTTTTATTTCTATTATTTTTTTTCCAAAGGGTATTACATATGTGTCCTTCCCCCACCCCCCGCCCTTGACAATCCCCTGCCCTCCCTTACTCCCCAGTGTCTTATGTCCATTAGTTATGCTTATATGCATGCATACAAGTCCTTCAGTTGATCTCTTACTCCCCTCCCTTCTGCCCCCCAACCCTCTCTGGCCTTCCCACTGCAGTTTGACACTCAGTTTGAGGCAGCTCTGCCTCTATATCTATTATAATTATAAATTTCTTGAGAGAATTTGAGTACAACTTGGGATAGTTCCTGTGATATAATGAAATATATCACAGTGCAAGTGCCCTCTGAGAGGTACTCAATTTATCAAAACTGCTTAAAAATCTGAAGTTAATGTTATGCTCACCAACTAAACTTCCTAGGCTTCTTATTCTTATGATCTACTCATTATGAAAATACAGCCTTATCTGTTTGGAACTGCCTCATTGCCATTCATTGATAATTCTTCCTACGGCACCCCCACAATATTATTCTTCAAATGTGTGAGTTTCAGAACACTGAACCATTCCTGCCTACATCTTTTTTTTTTTTTTTTTTAACTTTATTCCTGTTTTCTCCAACCCTATGGTATGCCAGTGGTGAGCAGCCTTTTCTGCATATGGGTCAAGTCTAGAAAATGAAATACATATTTTCAGAATTATGTTAAAATTTTTCAGCCATTTTATCTTTATCAATAAGGAAGTACTTGACCTGCACTTAGACTTAAAAAGAATTTTTTTCATTCCAAAAGGGGAATTTGGCTAAAATTTCATTTACATAACACTGCATTATTGAAATGTAATGCTTTTCTGTTCAACAGATACTATCATTTGCTAAGACTGGTTTATTTTCCCCTTTTTTTCTTTTTGCTTAATCTTATTAGATACTTAATATTAAGGTATGTATTGTCTTGTAATCCCTTTTCATATTCTTTAAAATAAGATATATTTCTATTGTAAATGAGACAGGCAGCTACATCATTAATATACAGTCCATTCAGGTTGAACACACAGTTATAATCAGCTATTTTTCTCTTTTTTTTTTTAAAGTCATCATAGCAAGATTTTAAATTGTAGAAATGGCCAGAAGGTTGGGGACGGGGGAGATGGTGTATGAAGAAAGCTAAGGAGAATTTACAAGGTTTAGTTTTTTAAACTTCTTCTTATTACAAAATAACTATAAGAATCTTACTGTAAGAACCAAGCTTCAATTAGGTCCAAGTGTGGCACGATCCAAGGACGTGTAAGATCACACATTATTGAAGGCAGCAGAAACCAGCCATACAGAAAATATGGACATCAAAACTAAAAACCTAAATTCATTAAAAACAGATAACTGTAGTGCAACAGTTAATGAATTCAGAAAATGATCACAGAGATCCAATTTCTGTAGATGGGGAGTTCCAGATAAAATATACAGAAAACATAATTACAGAAATAGTCAGATTTTCAAAACTGGAGGTGAATAAAAAAAGACTTCAACTAGACAACTAAGAAATGTATACAGAGAACCTCTCAGTATTAATATTCAAAGGAATATATCCACTTGTCAAATATTTTTTTTCAATTTTTAAAAAATCCTCAACCAAGGATATGTTTTTATTGAAAAAAAAAATTTTTTTAAGAGAGGAAAGGAGGTAGGAGAGAGAGAGAAACATCATTGTGATTAGGAAACATCGATCAGTTGCCTCCTGTACTCCCCCCGACCAGGAATCAAACTTACAACTTTTTGGTGTACAGGATGATGCCCAGCCAACTGAGCCACCCGGCCAGGGCCACTTGTCAAAACTTTTTAAACTACAAAGAAAAAATAGTTTTAGGGGAAAAAAGTAAAATGACTTTATACAGACTTTATAGAAAAGATGATCCCAGGCCATGTTTAGAAAATACTTAATACTTAAGGATTTACACTGTAAGTGTTTTTTTTCTTAGGAAAATATGAAAAAAAACCTTTGGAATTTTATAGAACCTGAAAGAATTAACCAACACAAATCTATCATTTAGCCCTTTGACAAGAACTGTGAAGGATCTGAGATTTACCTTACTTGCATGTTAACAAATTAGCCTGCCATAGTTTCATGGATACTGGCAGAAGACATAAGTGTCTTGGATCAGAAATAAAGGCCAGTTTATAACAGTAGTAAGCCAGAGTGAATCAGCATTTGCACCAATTCCTTGATTATCAATTCCCACAGGGCAATACCTGTTAGTGCAGTGTGTTATGTTAGAGAAAAGGATCTTTTATAATGGGCATGAGTTTAGAATTTATATTTAGAATTTGTAAATATGTTCTTATGGACATGCACTTCATATAGCTGCTGCTATGACTATCCGCCTGGAAGTCCAAGCATAATGTTAAAACTAGTTCTTTGAAGAAATGTTTTCAGTGGACCTAAACTTGTTTTGTCCATGGATATATTTTTCTGGAGATCAAGTTTTGTACGAAGATGGGTCTACTTGAGTTCACACAACGGAGCATAAAGGAAACAACCTTCCTCATGACCATCTCATATGGGTATTAGTATAAAACAAAAATATTTGCTGCTGCTACCACCATATCTGTTTCGAGATGATTAGTGGAGATAGAATAAGAAAAAGAAGTGAGACCACCTGGGAATACCGGGTGCTGTAGGCTTAAAAAAAAAAAAAAAGAAAAGAAAAAGAAGTGAGAGATTTACTATATGTCCTATGACATTTTATCCTTCAGGCTTATATTTATCATACAGTAGAAGATAATTATTTGCATTGTCCTCCTATGCTCTCTGAGCATTTTTTTAATCTTTCATGTTATTGCTTATACTACAGTATAAGCAATTGTGGGAATTCTAATAATGTACTAAATGTTTTTAGAATAGATAGAAATATAATATTCAGGATATTCAGGAAAATTTGTCAGGAAAATCCAAGGAAAAACAGAATACTAATAGAGGTATAAATTTGGCAATATGGCGATATAAAAGTCCACAAAATTCAGTTATAATACAACATTCCAGTGATAAAAAACCTAGCACATTCTTTAAAAATAGCAATTTTAAAGACAATAGCAATAAATAAAATTAAATATTAATAACATCTAATATAGAAAGTTAGAGGTTTATTCAATGAATTAAAAGATTAAGGATTGTACCTGGGCTCTAGCCGAGAAAAATAAATTTACAAATATTTTTCAGGTTAATATGAACACTTAAGATATCATTTAAATTACAATGTTATATTGTTTATTCTAGAAAAACAAGGGAGCAAGTATACCATGTAATCTTTGGGGGTAGAATGCAAGGATTTTGGAGAGGAGGTTTCTAAATTTTGCAAGCGTCAAAATATATTCTAAAATGAACTTTATATGATTTTTAAATGTTTTTTAAATAAGAAATGGGCAAAGCCAGCTTTCTTTTCAGAATCAAAATGTAGAACAATTGGGAAAATTATATATTTAATTAACCTTCACTAGTTTGAGCCTCCACAACTATATGTGATTTTGATGTTAAAAAACATCTCTATATATAAAAGCCTAAGCGACCGTTAACAATGGAACCGAATAAAGGGGATGTGCCCGCAACCCAGGTACATGCCCTTGACCGGAATCGAACCTGGGACCTTTCAGTCCGCAGGCCGACGCTCTATCCACTGAGC